AGAGCTGCCCCTCCCCCACCAGGTGGGCTGTGAGGGGACGGGGGCCACCCAAACGCCCCTCCCCCCCGTGGGTTGTGATGGGGCAGGGCTGTGACCCCTGCTGCCCCTCCCCCCACGTGCACTGTGAGGGGGGGTCCTGTCTCCTGCTGAGATGCTCTGGGCAGGGGGGTGAACCGAAGAACCACAGTGGATGCTTAGGGACTAATCTGCATATCGGTTAATTGGGATAACGAGAGATCTTGCTCCAGAAAGCTCCCCGGGAGAGGGGTGTCCACTCCGGAGGAACGAATCTGAAAGCGGAAGGCGAAAGTGATGGTGAAAGGAGAGAGAAGGGATTTCAAGAAGGCTGCCCCTCGCCCGGTCAGGGAGTTGGGGGGCACGGTGCCATTGGGAGCAAGTCAGAGGGGAAACAGTTGAAGATGGTTGGCAGGCTTTTTTTTAAAGAGGCGTTATTAAGGGCACGAGATTGAAGCTCTCTAGTTCAGCACCCTCGGGACCTGACCGATGCCGAGCCAGAGAATTTGCCGGACCGGGGAGGTCAATATGGTCTAGCAGCATCACCAACACTTCCACAGGTTGTAGGGCTTTTAGAAGGCATGTAGGAGTAAATTAGAGCTAAATAACAGCACAGAACATTGAGCTAGGATTGTAAACAAACTTTACAGCAGGGGTGGGGAGCCTAAGGCCTAGGGACCAGATGTAGTTCCCGGCTTGCCTGGATCCGGCCCCTGAGGTTCAGGGCTTCTTCCCCCCCAGCATTGGGGCGCACACACTGGTACTGCCCCCCCACCCTCCTGACCCAAAAAAGATTTCCCACCACCACTTTACAGGACCACGGGAAACTTGGCCACACCCATGATAAGTGGACATCTAGCAAATGAAAATCATGCCGGACCACGGATGTTGCCAGACCAGAGAATGCCGGATTAGAGAGGTTCAACCTGTACTCCACTGCACAGGAAAGCTAGGAAGTCTAGGAGGAGGCCACCCTGATGTAACGAGGAGATCCTGACTGATCTAAAAATCAAAAAGTTGTCCTACAAAAAGTGGAAACTAAGTCAAATTACAAAGGATGAATATAAACAAATAAGAAAAAATTACAGGAGCAGAATTAGAAAAGCCAAGGCACAGAACAAGTTCAGACGTTACAAATACATAGAAGCAAGAGGAAGGCCAAGGACAGGATAGGCCCATAAGAGGAAAAAAAGCGTACCAGAAAATGTGGAAATGGCAGAGGTGTTTTGGTTTGGATGCCTACCATAGTCAATGCCAGTGAAAATGGGGCAGGTTGAGAAGCTAAAATAAGAAAAGGAAAAGTTAAAAATTACTTAGCCAAATTAGATGTCTTCAAGACACCAGGGATTCTAGAGCACTCAAGGAGCTGACCTAGGAGATATCTGAGCCATTATCTATTGTCTCTGCTACACTTGCACCCTCTTTCGAGAGAGGGATGCAAATGCAGCTGAGCGAAATTGCAAATAAGCGCAGATTTGAATTTCCCATGCCTCATTTGCATAATCGCGGGCCACCGCTATTTCGAAAAACCCTATTTTGAAATACCAAACGCTCTGTAGATGCTGTTATTTCGGGAGAAAACCCTTCTTCCGAAATAACCCTTATTCCTCATACAACGAGGTTTACCAGTTATTTCAGAAGAAGGGTTTTCTCCTGTAATAACTGTGTCTACACAGTGTTTGTTATTTCAAAATAGGGTATTTCGAAATAGTGGTGGTCCACGATTATGCAAATGAGGTGCAGGAAATTTAAATCCACACTTCATTTGCAGTTTCGCTCAGCTGCATTTGCATCCCTCTCTCAAAAGAGGGTGCAAGTGTAGACATGCCCTTTGAAAAGTCTTGGAATATGGAAAAGATTCCAGAAGACTGGAAAAGGGCAAATGTAGTGTCCCTGTATAATAAAGGGAATAGGGGCAATCCAGGAATTACAGAATAATCAGCTTAACTTCTGTACCAGGAAAAATAATGGAAGCATATAATTAAGGAACCCATTTGCAAACATCTAAGGCGATAGTAATCACATGGATTTGTAGAGAACAAAGCTTGTCAAATCCGCTTGATAACTTTCTTTGACAGGATAAGGAGGGTGTGGATAAGGAGCAAGTGATAGGCATGGTATATCTAGACTTCAGGTATTTGATAACTGTCTCGCATGACCTCATTAAGAAAGTAGGAAAATATAGTGGCTCCTCTGGGCTATAAGGTGGGTACGTAACTTGTTGGATAACTGTTCCCAGAGAATAGTTGTGATTCACAATCATGCTGGAAGCACATAATAACTGGGGTTCTCCAGGGATCAGTTCTGGGACAGGTTCTGTTCAATATCTTCATCAACAATTTAGCTAATGGCAAAGAGGGTATGTTTATAAAGTTTGCAGATGATACCAAGCTGGGAGGAGAACAGGATATAATTCAAAACGATCTGTACAAACTAGAGAAATGGTCTGAAGTAAATAAGGACAAATGCAAAATACTTACCTAGGGCATGTCTCGACTACGTTTTACTTTCGAAAGAAGATATGTGAATTCGGCGGCAATTTGCATATCATCTTCCGATGGCTTTTTCGAAAGAACCTGTAAACCTCAATTTTTGAAGAAGAAGGTTCTTTCGAAAAAAGGGTTCTTTTTTTAAAAAAAAGAACCGTGTCTAGACTGCGGTTTCACTTTCGAAAGACCGCCGGGAAGCAATTACACAAATGAAGCATGGGCTATTTAAATCCCTGTGCGTATCTTCTTTCAAAAGTAAAATGTAGTCTAGACGTGTAGAGAGGAACAATCAACTGCACGCATACAGAATGGGCAGTGACTGTCTAGGAAGGAGTACTGCAGGAAGGACTCTAGGGGTCAGAGTGGACCGCGAGCTAAGTATGAGTCAACAGAGTGACACTTGCAAAAAAAAGCAAAACTGATTCTGGGCTGCATTAACCAGGAGTGACATGAGCAAGACACAAAAAGTAAGTCTTCTGCTCTGCTCTGATTTGGCCTCTCCCCATCTTATTGTGTCCATTTCTGGGTGCCGCATTTCAGAAAAGATGACAGCAGATGTTGCCGGACCAGAGAGAGCCGGACTAGAGAGGTTCAGCTGGTATTAGCTCAGTTTTACAAATACAGCTTAGCCACTCAAACACTACCTGTTTGTACATCCGGCATGTCAGGGGTGAGGCTGGTCCTCCGTCTCTTAACACCAGGCCTTCAGGGAAGGGGGTAAGTATGCTAGGGTAAGAAGTTCTTTATCTTCAAAATGTTATCTGTGGGAATCCTAGAACTGTAGTATGTTATTAGGAGCCATAGGGTTGCAAGATCTGTTATTCTTTCATTTGTTCTAATAAGGATTTTAACGAGCTGGCTTTGTCCTCAGTTTAAGTGCGCTCGCCACACATCCCGAGAACCCTTTTCTGAGAGAGAACTTTCTGGGTTCTCTCTCACTCAATGGCCTGAATTGGGATAAGAACCTAAATACCTTCATGTCCGTCCGATGCGGCCAGTGGTGAGTCATAACCCTTAGCCCAGGGGTGGGCAAGAGGCTGCCAGCGGGCCGAATCCGGCCTGCCAAGCCACCAGATACAGCCCACGGCCCCCTCACTGGAACCCTTAGGCAGGGATCAGTTCACGTTTTAGAAAGCCAGTTGCCCTCGGCTCCGGAGGGTTGGGGAGGGAGGAGGGAGACTTCTCATGCTGTTCCCACCCCAAAGCCACCGGATCCGGCTTGCGGCTGCCTCGCCAGAACCCTTGGGAAGAGAACAGCTCACGCTCTAAAAAGCCAGCTGTTCTCTGCTATGGACTGCTGGAGAAGGAGGAAGGAGACTTCTCATGCTTTTCCTGCCCCCCAGCAAAACATCTCCGCTCCCACTGACCAATCTCTCAGTTTCTGCCCAATAGGAGCCAAGAATTTTTGCTGGGAACAGGGGCAGTATAGGAGGCCTCCCTCCCTCCTCGTCCCCCCTCCTCCTTCCCCTCCACCCGAGCAAAGCCACCTTCACCCAGAGTCTGCCTCTGGCACCCCAGCTTCTCCCTCCCCCAACCCTCTGTCCCCCCCACACATACCCAAACCTTCTGCTCCCTCCTGCACCCATATCCCCTCCCAGATCTGGCACCCCAATCCCCTACCCCAGAACACAAGGCCTTCCTAGTTTAGGTCACATCCCAAAATCCTGCATCCCAGTCTCCTGCCTTAGGTCACAAGCGCCTCTTTCACCCAAATTCCCTCCCAGGCCCTGTTCTCCCTCCTGCAGCCCAATCCCTTATCCCAAGCTCCCTTCTGCACCCAACCTCCATTCCATTAATATCCTGGAACAGTGCGGCCCTCGACCACTTTCCAAAACCTTGGAGTGGCTCCCCCGTCAAAAATTATTGCCCACCCCTGCCCTAGCCCATGAATTCAGGTCAGCAGTAGGGTGCAAGAGGGAGTGCAGGATCTGGGAGGAACAGGGGTGTAAAAGGTTTGAGTTATGACTAGGGATGTAAATGGGTAACCAGTAAGCATCACCCTTACTTGATAATGCTTACTGTGTTACCCTTAACCTGCAGGGGCTGACGCAGACCCCCATGAGCAGGGAGCTGTTCCGGCTCTGCAGATCCCACCATGGACCCAGCCTGGTGCACTGTGGGCAGAAGCACATCCACAGTGGAGGGGCGGGGGGCTGCTCCAGCCCATCTGTGGTGGGTGTCGGGGGCGGCTTCAGCCTACTTGGCTCCCCGATAGGTAGTCGACTAGTTGCTTACATCCCTAATCCGAGCACTGGATGTGAGTGGAAACCAGTTACGTGGAGAAGGTTTTGGTTTTTGGTGAATTTCCTCGTAAGAAATGGCCTGGGCATCGTAAAAGAGACGTCACGCGTTCCTTTGAGTGTGCTCTCGAAATGGAAAATAAACATGGCTGTGGTATTTCAACCTTGAGGCTGCCTTTAGAAATGAGAGCGCTGGCAGCAGGAGAGGAGGAAAGCCAAGTTTTTAATTGGACGAAGGCAGGGGGAGGCTGAACAAACGTGAGTTAACGATGAAACAGAAGCTGTTCAGATGAAAGGAAAACTAAAAAGGGAGACAGCATGTCCCAAACGTGCCAAGTGGAAAAATAAGTCGAAATTAGGCAAAGTATGGAGGAGGAGGGAAAAACTGAGTTTGTTGGAGCGAGTAAAATTTAGCAGTAGGTTGGAGACAGTAATGGAAAAATCAAAGTTGGAGAGGACATGACCTAGGGTTGTGACTGGTTTCAGCAGAGGTTTTTAATGAGTGTTTTCGAGCGTTGGGAATGTTTTGTTAAAATGCTATCTGTACTGAGAGCACGGGAAGGGACTTGTGCAGATGTTAATTTAATGTGTAATGTAAACAGCCAACAAAGAGGTGGCAGAATGTGAATATGGTAATAGATAGATTTAATGTTAATTAGTATTTTAATGGGTTGGAAAAGGCATAGTCTTGCTAATTTGGGAGAGCTCCAATCAGCACCAAAAGGTTGGTTGCTGTGAGATGACCTGATTATAAAGCTACCAGAAGATTTACACGCTGTTGCTTGCGTCCTTCAGGGCTCGGGGCGTGGGGGGTGCGGGAGTCAGGGCAAGAGCTTGGGATGGCGTGTGGGGGAGAAGAAATAGTCTAGTAAAAAGATATGAACAGAACTGAAGTCTAGGCTAGGGAGTTGAAGGTCATTGGAGCTGCATATAGCTTTGAAGTAAAGGAGTTGGATTTCACTTTATATAGCTGCTAAGCTGTGCCATTCCAGTCCACATTGGTAATTAATATTCGGACAGTTTATTGTTCTCCAAGTTTACTAACAGGTAACATCCGGCCAATGTCTCCTCCAACCTTTTTCTTGCTTTACTAGGACCTAGAGAGATGGAGACTTGTAACTTTTTTTTTTAAACTTTGCCCAATGGAAGGTATCTCCTACGACGTAACTCATGCTTCTACTCTGAAGATGGACTCTTCTTAACTCAGTGGGTGTACTCTCTGTGGGTAGTCAGTTGGGTCTGCTTTACTAATGAACATGTTTATGTTTTGCTTTAGCTAGTCCTGCAGAGCCAGCCCAGCTCTGGGACCAGGAGCTAGATTCTGTTCTGGCTCGCGCATCAGCAGTAGCATTGTGACTTCAATTCTGATTACACAATCTTTTGAGGTGTGATGCAGGAAGCACAGAGCCCAGGTTGGCTTTCCGAGGGAAAGGTGAGTCGTCAGAGGTGGCAGTTAAAGAAACTGCTGTTTATTGGTCTAATAGAGTAGCCCACCACAGAGCGATAATCTACGGGTTTCAGTCTCATTTTTAGTTTCTTTTCATTTGCTCTTTTTCTTCTGTTAAGATATGTGTGCAAAAAATGGTGCAAATTCTGACTGGTGGGTACCCTGTACCATATCAGGTACCTTCTAGGGGTGTTGGATATCAGGTAATTGAATAGTTGGGTAACCACATGAAATCTTAGTAGTTACACAACTATGTTACCCCATTCTTCTGCCTCTCGATCAGAGAGGTAACAGCTTGGGGAGGCAAGGGGCATTGGTCCGCGAGGGGAGCCGGTTTAAAAACCTCCCCTCAGGGACCGGCTGCCTGCGCTGCTGCCTCTGATGCAGAGGTAGCAGCATGGGATTGTAGCAGCCCCTGTTTGTGGGGGTTCCAAGCTCTCCCCTCTTTCCCCCCCCCCCCCCGCAGACAGAGGCTGCTTTGTGGCAGCCTCCTGTGCTCCCCCTCCTGCCCGTTGTTGCCTCTGATAGAAGCAGCGGGGCAGGGTGAGGGAGGCAGCACCAGGGAGCCAGTGCTGGGGGAACCAGCTTTGAAGTCTCTTCCCCCGCCTTGCTGCCTCTGATTTAGAGGCAGCAGGGGAGGGGGGAATACAAGTAGTTGACAAGATTAATTGATACATCTAGGCTTATCAGATTAATCGTATCGTCGACTACACATTGACATCCCTAGTATCTTCCACTTTTTCTTTATGTATTGCTGCTTCCTTCTGTCTGCCCTTTCTTTCCTGTGTTTGGACTGTCCTTCTGAAAGAGCCTCAGATTGGGATGGCAGAAGGTTTTCTATGCAGCAGGGCTGCCTCACTTTCTTCTGTAGACAGTGTAGCTCCCTAACAGACCTCTCCTCATTAGACCCAGCAAGCAGGCAAACCACTAGAAAGTGTGGAGAGTATGGACAAAAGGCGTTTCTTTAACCCAGTTGGTCAAAGGAGACAGATAATCTCTCCCATTGTTGAGACTCCCTGATTGAAGAAAGTCAGATTAATCCTGGTTCCCAGACTAAGATACGTTTTACAGAGTAAGAGTTTAAGAAAATCAAGAGATGTACAGGAAACTACTACAACTTTGTTTGCAGGGTATTTTGGCTAATGGGGCCTGTATGAAGTATGTTTCTAAAAGGGATATAAAATCCCATTAAAGTAGTTAACCGATAAAACAGGGACAGGCAAGGAGATCGCTCAAGACCCTGCGGGTTAACGATAACTACTAAGCATCACTTGGTGAGGTGGTGCTTCCCAGTTAATCTGTTAACCATTCACATCCCTAGTTTCTATCTACTCTTCTGTTTTAATAAGTGTATGTATTTGGGATAGATTCTGGTGGAGTAGCTATAGAAAGGGGCTAACCATCTGCATGGCAGACATAGGAAGAGAATGGCATTACAGCCGATCCCTGAGTTACGAACACATTGACTTACAACCGTTCGTATTTACGACCAGCCTCCTATACAGCTGGTACCCGAGTTAGGAAAGAAATTCGCACTTACAAACAGCACGGCCGTACGTAAGTGAATGTAATCCGATTTACGAACAGATCGAGTTACGAACTACTGTTCGGTATGTAGCTTGTTCGTACGTCGGGGACCGGCTGTATTTTGTTGTTGTAGCCCATTTAGGCTGGCTTGCCTAAATTAATATAACTACACAGATCTGTGTTCTGTAGGATAGTAGCTCTCAACTTTTCCAGGTAACTGCACCCCTTTCAGGAATCTGATTTGTCTTGTGTGTCCTTAACTTGACCTCACTTAAAAACTTACACAATCAGACATACAAATAGAGAAGTGTCACAGTTCACTGTTATTGAAAAGTGGCTAACTTTCTCATTTCTACCATACAACTATAACATACATAAACTGGAATATAAATACTGTACACTGAAACATAAGTACAATATATAAGTCAGTATAAACGCCTCATTATCGGTCTGAAATGTTAGTGTGTATGGGCTTTGCTAGTGCTTTTTTTGGTAGCCTTTTG